CCCAAGCCCAAATCTTCGCCACCCCTGTATCTCGCCGCTCAGATATTCGTCAACCCTGGTCAGAATATGAATTATGAAGGGCCTCCGTGCGTTTGCTTGGAACGATAGATGCAACAATAGTCTTATTATGACGATCAAGGTCGGCGGTCTTGCAAGCAGAAGAGGCCCTAACCACCCCAAAATTGGGGACGAATTCATACCTCAAAACCAAAATCTGGACCATATCTCCGGATGGTACGTTAAAGGCTCAATTGAACACCGATTGTGAGCGTCCTTTGCCGCCCTGCAAGTTCCCTATTTGACCGACATGAACAGTGGCATTCGACCCCGTGCCCTGTGTAAACCTCAACACGCACGCCGTTGTTATCGTTGGAGATTACGTTTCGTTCAGCCTATATTATTGGGAACGTTCGAAGCACAGGTACTGTAAAGCGGTAAGTCCTACAGAGTCATATTTTATGCAAAGGCTGATTGCCCCGTCATCTCAAGCGACTTGTGTTCGAGGCTGTATGATGAACGCTCAACAACTGTGACAAATGGTATGTGCTATATTTCTGGCTCTGCTGATCAGACATAATCTACGTCATGGCTAGATCACCGAATGATACAACTTGGTCCGCCCACCTGGGGATAGACCGTCGAATGTGAATGAAAGAAAAGGAAATGATGTCATAACGTCTCGTAATGCAGGGGTGTTAGACTTTAGTGCAAGTCTCAGAATGCAAGTCTCAAAGCAGCATGTTTTCGTCTTCGTCGTACTCCATGTCGTCCGGTTCACTGGTGACCACCCACCCGCCTTCCCTAGTCTCGCTCGTCTCGCCATCCGACATCAACGCATTTTCCATCACCCAGTCTTCCTCGTCGGAGGACATTCCGCTCTTTTCGGAGCGGTCAAGGAAGGGATCGTTGACGGTCAGCTTCTGCATTTCGGCTTCTAACGTGGACGCTACGGCGGTTGATCCCGCAGCAGTGGCTGCCAATGCTAGGGCGTTGTCAGGGGTATTTGCTTCCGTTAGCGTCGGTGGCGCTTCTTCCAAGACGATCGCGGGCATAGGGAGCAGATATGGGGGTGGGATGAGCGGTTGGACGCGTACATCCAATTGAAGGAGTATGGTCCGCTCCACGGTAAACATCGTCCACATGGTAGCCGTCATACTTGGTGTTATGCTGACGGAGTTCTTGCCTGCGGATCGGATTGGGAAGAGGGTCGTTTCAGGGAACATAGCGAGGCAGATCGGTTCGCCGTCTTCGATGGGGCTGACAACTCGAAGGTTAGCTGTGACGATACCTGGGGTGCCGACGTCCATCCGCAAAGTGACGCGATCGTCGAGGATCTGGAGTGTCCATGCCCGATCGCCGATGATCCACTCGATGTTGATCTCTGGTGGACGAGCGGCTGGCTTATCAGGAGCGGAGGACGAGCCAGCACCTGGCGTGAAGAGAGATGTGTTGGTGATTTCGTGGAGGCGCATCTGAGCCTTTTCGGAGAGGGGGCGGGAAGGTGGTGGGGGTGGGGGCCGCAAGGCCTTTTCGAGATCGAAGATGGAGATCATGGTTTCAAAGGTCCCATTGGCCCTGGAACAATTCAGTGTGTCGGTATTGGTGTGGATCAGCTGGGGCGATGGCACGTACTCAACAACGGAGACCTGATATTCGCATCCGTCCGTACCCCCCAAGACCTCTCGAAGATGTTGGAAAAGTTCGTCATTACCCCTCTGGATACACGCCGACTTGACCATCCATCGCACAGCTTGAGATGTTTTTGCCGTCTGGGTGAGGAGGTACATGACCAGTTCGCGCCCGATATCCCAATCGCACCGGTGGATCTCGAAGACGAGTGGAGGTACATCACCGACGTACATGTTCTCTGCGAGAAGCTCAGAGAAAGGTACGCCGTCGTCTTTGCACTGTTCCGCGATATCCTCGAGGACATCAACCACCTCGATGGGCGCTAGGTCTTCGTTGAGCATGACGTCGGTGATCAAGCTCAGCGCTGACGCTCGGGTCAACCGATCACGACGGCTCGTCATGTCTGATCTATTACTGGACTCGGGATATCCCCAACGACGTGGCCGGAGGGGGAGGGTGGGTTGCAGGTGAGTGGTTTCGGTTTGGCTTGCGTATCGACGTATCGGCTCTGGCGTGCGAGGGACCTCTTCATCCGCAAATGGGTTCTCTACCGCCGCTCCTGCTTGGGTTCTCGCCGTCCTGGCGTTGACGGCCTCGGTATACAATAGTGCCTCTTCGTGGCTCGGGTCTGACATGGGGGGAAGGGTAGAGGTTTGTGGTTGAGCTGTGGCAGGATGCGTTAAATAGGTCGAGCTTCTTCGGGGCGTGCCTTCCAATGGAATGGTCTGCGCAGAAGAAGGGACAAGTGTCTTACTGCATGATGCTGTGAATCATAAGACCCTGACAAGTTCCCGCGGATATATCGGTGCTCTTATCGCGCTCCAGAGGTCATCCGCTCTTACCATCTCCCGCTAGGCTTGCTCGGTCGATTGCGAGAAGCTGAAATGTCTCCCTGGGTTTCTGGCTTTGGTGCCACATTGGTTATGTAACTCGGCTTCTCCAACAGCCTCTATGGTCTAGTGGTACGATACTCCGTTTGGGAGGGTGCGGGTGCACCCAAGAATCGGAGTGGTCCTGCGTTCGATCCGCAGTGGAGGCCTCTTTTTTATATCGCATTTTTATCACGGTTCGCTTCACTATTCCTTCACGTGCTGGCGTGACGCCCCGTGTTTGTCTCACGCCAGAGCATTGGACCTACAATTTTGCCTTGCCGCGAACCAGTCGCAGCTGCACGACATCCCGTTGCTATTGTCGCTGCCTCGCCCTGTGGGAGGTCCCATACAGTCACAGGATGACACCGAGAGGCCTGAGCAAATCGCTGCGGATCCGTTCCGGTGGTTCTTCGACGACTCATTTACCTCAAGGCTTTTCGGCCAAATTTCAAGGAGGATTAGTTGACTTCCTTTTTTGGAAACTATGTTCGGGGTATAAGTTACGATTGCAGTGGTTTAGTAAGGGGCTTTCGTCACTCTTCAACCACTGCTACTACTGCGATCCATGGATCCTTTGCTGTACAACAAGTGAGTAGCTGCCAGCGTCTTATTACGAGTTGCTGACCTCATTCACTTTCAGCTCTGTGTTCTCTGGGGGCCGTTCGCTTGTGCAGCCCCTGAGCAAGATTCTCCACGCCTTTCATCATCCCATCGATCTCAAAGACCTTCGAGTCTGTGTCATCGGCACAGGCGCCGAGAGCATCCTCGCTGGCTTCATAAGCCAATTCCTTCACGGTGCCCGCGTCGTCGTTGTCGCAGCCGACCAGCAATTCCTTGACTTCG